ATTAGTCTTTAAATATTTCAAATAAAATAATTTAAATTTTTTAGAAGAAAAGTGAAATTAGAAAATATTTGGAAAATAATTTTTATAGACATTCATTATAAAAATGATATAGAAAATATAGTTATCTCTATCAATGTTCAGAATATTACAAATATATGCAAATAAAAAATAAATAACTGAATAATTCATAGTAAAATTACAAAGAGTAAATTTAAATTGATTACACTTTATTTAACAACAGTATTTTATTCATTTTTATTTAATTAAACAGTAAGGAAAATGGCAAGATCAATAATATTAATACTTAAAGATTATATATATTTTCAACAACTACATAATCGAACAGTATTTATTTTAATTTTTTTATTTTAAGACGAACCTTTATAAATAATTATAATAATTCATCTTACTCTAATAGATAATGAAATTAGTAATGTATATTTCGTATTTGTATGCTAGTATAGAGATAGCTCAACTTAGTGACTTAGCGCCAGAGCTCGTTGTTAATTGGGAAAAATGTTTCTAGTTACAGTTTACATGAATTATAGATATTTCGATCAGATAAATCCAATAAGTATGTTTCTCTCAATTATTTATCATTCAGATAAAAAATAACAAATATTATAGGCGATCATGTAAATTGAAGTATCTAAATGAAGTGCTCAATTACTATTAAATTTTAGTACTAGTCCTGGAAACTTAATAATATAGTATCCAACATTTTTTAAGCTGGCTATGTTTAATATTTAATCAATAAAAATAAATTTAGTGTACATAAAAAATTTTGTACAAAATTTTACAATACTTAATAAGTGGAGTACAATATCCTTAAACTTATAATTAAAATTCCTAATAAACATACATTTAAGCAAAGACAGAAAATACCACACGACAGACGTAATTATTTTGGGAGATTCGTGTTTTTAAAGTCATTAGTCTTCAATTAAAGAACACTGTATATTACTTTAGATTAGAATATATTTTATTCTACATTCCCATTAAACTTATGAATTTAAGATAAAGTATGCACACTTATATTTTCGATTTTTCATATATACATTAAATAAAATAGAAGAATATTCATAGAAGATAATTCATATAATTATATTATATATTTACGTATAAAATATCTATAAATTAAAAAAAAATTATGAATGTTCAGAGACCTTTCCATTATAATCCTTTGGTTTATAATAAAACATCTTCCACCCTCGTATATTTATGAATACTAAAGCTCGTTGTTACTTTTCACGATAAATATATAATAGAAGCCTTGTAAATTCATTCAAAAGACTACGTCAGTGAGTAAAACTGGGTCTTTATTTTCTCTCCTTAGGCCTTATAAGGCTTTAAGATAAGAATCAGAATTAATATTCGTTTTTAAATACTTATATAATAATTTCAACGTATCCTTTATATTTACTTTATTCAATCAAGCAAAATATCAGATTACGTAAAAGCTACTATTTTAATACTTAACCAAATTGCTAAATTAATTAAGATAATTCTTAAGATAATTAATTGAGTTTTCAAAATACTCTATTTTATTACACCACTCAAGTAGTTCCTTATTTTATTATATAATTTAATAAATTTATTTCTAAAATATTAACTTCAAAGAGAATATGAAATTTTTATGTTGAAATGATAATCGAATTTCTGTGTATAACTTATAAATTTGCATATTAATTTTAAGTTATATATTTAAAACATTTATTAGTACAATATTAAAAATAATGCATTATTAATATTAACCAATTTATTTAAATTTGTTAATAAAATTATTTTGTAATTTAATTTTTCAAAAGTAAACGATATGTTGGTGTCACATAAATTTTAAGAAACATGTATAAATATATATCCTCCTATAATTTGTTATCCTGTAAAAATATATAATATAAAAACATATAATGTTATTCTCTATTTTAATCATTTACATCTTAGTAGTAATAAAAAACAATGAACATATATATATTAAATTAAAAAAAATACTCAGTTTTTATAAGTGAAAAGTACAAGGCTTGCCTTAAAAAGCATAAAAATAAAAAATGGAATTTGCCAGATGGGCAAGCAGCTCGTGACTCGCTTTGCTTTACACTAATTTTTCAGCAAGACACCTATATCAATCTTATCATTGATATAGGTACGCGTAACCAAAAAAGTGTCGCGTAACTGCATATTTTGTGTATTATGTCTGAGTTTAAATGATATGCATAAAAAATATTGTGCAAAATCACTTTGCCACTATTTATCGTATGTATATAATATACACAAAATATATAATGTACATAAGGTGTACATAATACATTATGTGTATACTCATCGAATTACTATTCAGCAGAACGGTAGAATTCATTTTATTTTCATAGGAACCACTTGATACAAAGACTTTTATTTATACTTTTATCTCTTACAGTTTATCAACCAAGCACGCACTCCCATTTGGAGCGTGAATAATGGTGAACTACTCATCCCAGGATCAGATCAAGGCTATTGTATCACTGTGAGTACACAAGTCTGTGCGACCTAAATTATTGCCAGCCAACACAAAACTAACATGGCGCTATTATCAATAGCACATCACACTCACTAATAAGGAGTGTGCATAATCAATTGCTGATCCTTACAAAATCAATATCACGATCTCAAGGAGCATCTTGTGTAGTGAAACACCCATCACAAGAAACGTTACAAGAAATCACATCTTCACATTAAACTTAAAATGGTTCCAAAACACCAATATGTAATTGTATTATAAATTGTAAAATAAATCATATATTCATCAAATTGCACGATATTTCTACAGCCCTTCCACTTAACTCCTTCCCGAGCATTTGCCAGGGCGGGCGGCAAACATAAGCTATTGAAGCATTGGCTGTTCGAGCCATGAAAACTACATCATTTTCGAACACTTATATTGATTAAATTATATAAACCTGATAAAAATAAAATGTATGGATATATACAATACTGTATTATATAAATCTGTACGAGTGAAATAAAATAATAAATGTTTGAGCCTATATGTTCTATGCTAGTATTTAAACATATTTTCGGCATATTCCTTTACACATCTCATGTCACTAAACTCTTTCCAGGTTTTCATAATCCCTCATTTATTTCCAACGTAAAATAAATTTAGATTAAAGCGTTAGGTTACCAGCAGTATGATTATCTGGATATCAACGTAAACACCACACATTGTTATAACTTTCCAAAAAATTGTATTCGTGATGTTTCAGATTGTTCAACATGTTTAACAGACATTATAAATTAAATTAAATAACAAAATTTATTACTGTATTACTAAATTTTATTTTACTAATTATTTATTAAATTAAATTATTTTGAAAGTAACATTATATTTTCTAGATATAGAAAAAATTTAAGTCACACGATTTAAATCTTAACAAAAAAAACGTGACTATTTTTCATGTTTAATTTACCTTATTTAATTTTCATATTTTATATATAAATAAATTTTGCGTTTGACTTCACTTTATTTAGTTTCAATTTAAATAATTTTATATATTTTATTATATTATTCATTCAATCTTAATTAAATAAACAAATTAAATAGTTGAAAGTGACAGTTGCAAGAACCATGCATACAAGTGTTTACTCCATTTTTCATTCTCATCAAATTTTAAAAGAATTTTTTAATAAACAATCCTAAGAATCTGCTGCTCTTTCATGTTAAAAATAAAATAATAAACAGAAGATGATATAGAAGGAAACAAAAATATCCGAAACAAAGATCTAGCAAGGTGACAGGACAGAATAACTAAATCGATTGCATGCTATACAATTATGAGAAAATGCAAGTTTTTAAAATTTTGCAGCTTTAATTAATATACATAATTTAACTAATAATTTAATCGATTAATAAATTTTAATCATTAATTCAAATATTGTAAACTTATATATATATATATATATATATATATAATATATATATATATATATGTAATTTAATGTAATATAGTTAAATTTGACTAAAATATTAAATTTATAACTTTTTATCTATTGTACCTTAAAGTTAAAAAAATCATAAATTTACGTTTATTACAGTAAATTTATAATTTGTATGTATGAAATAAATTTCTCATATATATTTTTGAAACTTTTATATATTTTTTAATACTTGTGTTTTAAATAAATATATTTAATTTTAAAAATAAGGAAATTCACAATATAAGAAAAATTTTGATTTCTGCAAAAAGCCTGAAATAAAATTTTCAGTTTCTTAAATAATCAGGGAAATCTAAGTTCAATATTTACTTGCTAAAAAATAAATGAATATAAGAAAATAAATTCAAACCTTTTTACAAAATTTTACTTTTATTTTAATATTGAGCTATACATTTGTGCCATTCTTACTGTTTTTTTCTTGTTATTTACAACTGCTTGTATTTAATATAATTATTATGAAGGTAAGTTTGTCAATGTCTATGATTCATTATTTTAAATAATTGATAAATGCTAATTTTTTAACTTCACTAATATGTGACAAAGGAAATTCTACATGTTTATTATTTCTGTTATATATATTGAGACTACATATATTTAGAAAGTTCAATGTTTGATTTCAATATTGTTTTTTTATGATTCATATTTATAGTGAAATGGAATAATTCCTCATAAAAATTATAAGGCGTATGTAAAACGTATAATTATTTTGCATAATTATAATATACACATATGATTAATTTGTACTAATATATAATAATTTTATACAACAAAATAAATTAAAATAAAAATATCTAATTTATAATTGATTTTTCTTTATGTTATTGCTAATTTATGTAAATAAAATAAAATAATATTTTATAAAGATAAAACCATATTTATAGTTAAAAATAGATAATTATACTATTAAATAAATGAAATAAAGTAATTAAAAAATTTTGTTTGTACTGCATTGCCTAATATATTTATTTTTCAATGCTTGAAACAATGTTCTTAATAATGAAGTTTTGAAGTGATTAGAATAAACTTACCTTAATAATTTTGTATTTTTTATTAGTTGCTTGATTAAGGTCCTCATGAACTTTATCCAGCAACCACAATAAAAATTCTTGAGCATCATGTTGCAGATTTCCACGATATTGACTTCCATACTTATCAACAATACTTTTGAAAGCAGTGCTCATTTCTGGATCATACTGACAACTCCATATAGCTTTAAGCAACAAGGCTAATTGTTCTGTTATTTCACCTTTAGTTCCATACTTTTTTGAATTCAACTTATTTTTTTCCACTAGATCAGCTTTATATTCATCCAACACAAAATATTTAGCTAAAGTGTCTGTATGGGATAAACATTGTAATACTGCATTCATAAAACATGTATTCCCATGATTTCGTAAACCAATAACTCCTGGCACTCTACCAGGAGGTATGTGTGCTAATATAGATGGTAAAACCCGTATATCTCCCATGCTAGAATCAAAACCATCCCCATTGGCCATCTTGTAGTTTTGATTGCCAACACTCGCTACACTTTGAACCATCTTTTTAATGAGTCTTCCAAAACTCTTCCAAGAGTGGTTGTGTGAAACCTTTTTGGTTCCAGAGGATAATCTACTCTGATCCTTCGATGGATGATCATTGGACTGCATGATGCTGTCCTTGATTAACTCTCTTTCTTCTTGATGCTTAGATCGCCTTTTGGAAATCTGCAGCATTCGAGGTAATGTAAAAGTTCTCTTGAGATTACTTCTTCCTGTTTTTGTACAAGAATTAACCTAAAATAATATTTTTTAGATTTTTATATTTATTCACGTATAGCATATTATGAAAATTAGTATGAAAATTATAATATATGTTTTTAATAAATTATGAACAAAATATTTTTAAAATAAGTTTAATTAGAAAAAAAGTTGAAGTGATTATGAAAAATAATATTACTATTGGATAGATATTAATATGGATTATATGCTTATTTATAATCTTAAAAAAAAATAGAATTTCAATAATTTTTGATTAGCAAGTATTTATTTATTTTTATACATTGTGTTTTTTAAATTCTATTAATTAAAATTAAATTTTTATTAGAATAAAAATTATTAATTTATTAAATTATTTTAACAAATTTGCAATATGTATTTTATAATTAAAAAATATATAAAAAAACTATTTTCAATATTTTTCAAATTATAGATAAAAAAGAATTAACAGATATAAAATGATTTAAAATCTTGTATATAAATATATTTGAAAGTTTTATATTTCAGATATTATCTAAATATTATTATTATATATAAAAGAAGTTCGCAAAATAGATTTTTTTTATCATATAAGAGAAGCACTTTAAATATATAAGTAATAGTTGTACTTTGAATATTTCAAAATGTATTTGATCAACAATGCTTTGATTTTTTAATACTTTAATATTAAATTCTGAAATAATTGAAAACATTTTTCATAAATAGTAATATAACTACTTCAAATACATTTAAATAACTGAAAGTATTTAGGAAAAAATTCATTAAATTATTACAGCCAGTGAATTGAAAGTACTTGTGACTAAGTCAAATTAAACAAGATCAATAAACAAAACACTTGTTTTCATAATAAAAGATAACATACAAGTATAAGATAACAAACGGCATTTAACGTATTATTGCTTGTCTCGAATATAGATGTAAAAAGTAATCGTGAAAATCGAAGAAATACAAGATAAAAAAAAATAAGAATGCTATTTATTCACCTCAAGAGAAAATGTCGCGTTGGGCTTGGTTCCTACATCAGTAACGGGCTTCACCTCTTCCACGCCCAGTTCGCCCTCCGAAACAGATTTCATTACGCTTACACCGGCCACGACGTGCACTAGGTTATCGTTTATCACGGTATTGTCGATAAGCGTTGTTGGGTTCATCGCAACGGCCGCAGCCGCAACGAAGCTGTGCTGACGCATGCATCGACATATGAGGATGCCGACAGCATCTTCCTCTTCATTGGGATTAATCCGCCGTCCTTACCACTCTCTATACACGCATCATTGGTTTACTTTACGTTTCTCATCGGCAAGCGCAGTCCGGCGACAAAATGCAACTGATGCTTTGGAATGCTGAATAAGCGTGGACCGTGTGATAAAACTATAGAAGCAGATGCAAAGGCAAAGAAATACATACTTACTCAAGGCGAATGCATGCATGCGTTATACTTGCAAGAAATTACCCATGGACGTAAATAGGTATGCTCAGAGCAAATCACATACGTTTTGTGATTTTCCTCGTATTTTTTTATTAGTTAAACATGCACTCTTATTGTTTGTTTTGACTTACATACGCATGCATACATAAGCATGGATACACAAAGATGAATTTCACCACAGAAATGAAAAATAAATAATTCGTTCCTTACGTTCTCTCCTCTTACATTGGCTGCCATTCCGTGTATGGATGAATATCATATATAGCGATATACCGTAGAATTACGGTGGGGCGGCTCTCGTTCCCATACTGCTGCTTCATTTGGCGGCCATTTGTTTTCCCTTGGTTTTTTTATTTTTGTAAGTATTGTATGCGCCATCTAGTGACTTATCTTCTTAGAAAATATGGTACCACCTGATCGATCCAATTATTATCGACAGTGTTGATCGTAGAATAATCAAATAAATGAAATTAAACTTACCGACTGTAAATATAGCTTGATAAATATGTACATATAGTAAACACATCGTGCATACAGAAAACTCATTAATATAATTAATTATATATATAAATCTGGTTTATATACAACCATTCATATATAGCCAAATGCATGTACTTTCTAATAGCAATATATTAATAATCAAAAAAGAGAAATAAGAGAAAAGAGAATGCCATAGCAGCGACTGGCAAAGAAGCAGGGTGACAAAACACTAGACAGACAATTATTCAAGATGCAGTTGAACCTTGCAAATCTAAGAAATTGTATGTAATTACTCTTATTATTTGTACACAAACGTTGTAAATTACGGATTCATTGATCAAAATAATAATTAATTGATAGAAATATTATAGCTTCTTACATTTTCGAATTATAAAAAATAATATATAAAAATATAAAATATAAAAAAATATTTAATTAAATAATTTTTAATTCACTAAAGCTATAATTCTTTCTTAAAACCCTATGCTTTCTACAATATAACAGTGAAATTAAAAATAATAAATTAATATATTTCAAGAAGAATTGGAAAATTTATTGCAATTTTAGATTAGTAATTTTTATACTATGAACATAGAATGATTTCAAAATACATTATAACACAAAATAAAATTATAACTTTAAATATTATTAATACAATTATTACAGTTAAATCTCATTCTTAAATCTTCTAATGTTATAACGCAATAATATGTATTACTTTTATTATTAATTATACAATAAATTTTACTACGAAATAGTATAATGTGAAATTTAATTCACAAATATATATTAAAAATATATATTAATAAACCTTTTAATAGAATTTCCTTCCTTTATTCATGATAAAAGTAAATATATAAATTATAATTTTATTACTTTTTCTGGTATTGTACATCGTACAATCACATTGTACATTAATTTTAATAAAGTAATATTTATAGACTTATTTATAGTAATATATATTTTTCTTGTTAATAATTGTGGGAAAATGCTGATATTAGTTAAGGTTAAAATAGTTAAAGAATATTTCATTAAAATAAATAATTTATGTACAATAAATATTTTTTAAATTAAACATATCTTAAAAATATAATCAAATAATTTTCAAAAAATGAATTTTTTTTAATAAAGAGAAGGTCATTTTTACGATTACATTTTTGGTTAAATATAGAAGATATTATGTTTGTAAAAATTATAAAATCTTTGTCTTTTTTATAAATTGAAAGACTTTCTTAAATTATGTTATTTTTTTAATGTCATGAGAATTCAATTTTACGAAATTATGAACAAACACAAAGAGTGCCAAATAAAATTTAGATTATTTTTATAAACTCTTGTCTTATATTATCTTATAAACTTTTATATTGCCTTATATAATACTGTCATATTTACTAAAAGAATTTTGAGTATAATTATGTTTAAACTATCTTATTTTGCTTTTTGTGTTTCTATTTTATTCTAGATAGGATTTCTTTTAGGATTTCTAGATAGGATTTTTGTGCTAAATTAATTTGATACAGATATTGGGTATATTTGTATAACTATTGAAACGTATAATTCTTATATCAACAATATATTTTGTAATTTACTTATTTCTATCTGATATAAAGTTATTAGCACTATAAAACTGAATTAGAACTATAAGATTAAATAAATTTTATATTAGAAAACAAAAATAGGTATATTAAAAGACAAAAGTTAATATTATTTTAATGAAATAATATGTATATATAATAATAAATAGGATTACATTTTTTAATTAAAACATGGTTGCAGTATTAGATGTAAATCTGCAAATCAAAATATACTAATTATACATATTCAGTTAATATATTTTTATTTTATTAAATATAAGAAAATAAGTAAGTTTTTATAAATAAGTTTTTTCAGTTTTTTCTATAAAATTATTGTACATATAAATAAAATATCTAACATTTTGTTTATTTTTTGCTGAAATTATAGCTGTTCTATTATATTTCTAAAAATATAAATGTGTCATTATTATACATTTTAAAATAAAAATTTCATAAATATTATTTATTAGTCTATACATTATGCCAATCGTGTTAATTATTAATTGATGATACTAATTTCTCTAATATTTAGAATTGCAGATCATTGAAACTTTTTATAAATTTTTATTCGAAATTTTTTAACTGAAAATTGAAAGTTTTTTGGAAAATTGATTCGTTTTTGTAAATACATTATAAACACTAAATCTATTCACGAAATACTAGTAAAGAATATTAAATATATTAGACAAAACAATTCTATTAATAACATCGATCCAATGAGGAATTGATCTGTACGTTCTCATTATACGTTCTTAATATACTTTCGTTATTACTATACTTCGTTATGGATCACGCATCATTGGTGTAAGTAAACTGTTGATCGTATTATGTATTATTTCTTTCCTTATAACTTACGTCTTACTATCCATTCACTTAATATTGTTGTAGAGCTTAAAATTTTATCGAATGCGGTAGTTGAATACTAAACTCAGCTATATACAAGGTTTTTACGATACTTTGCTGCAACGCGCCACGACATACTTTAATAAAATAATTGACTAATTTTTTACTGCATTCCTCAAGCATCACTAGAGAAAGTCACTATTAACTCTCAATTAATTATTATGAATCATCGAATCGTTCAATTTACTCAATTATATAATTAAGGTTGTTTTCATAAAATATCATAAAATTTATCTAAATTAATAAGTAACACGAATAAGTGTTTACAATTAAAATTTTTTGATTCGTACGTATAAATAAATAAGAATACTGTCAGTAACAATTTGTAGTAATATTCTCGGTAGAGAAAATATCTTTAATCTAATAACATAAAATTATCTTTTGAAGAAATTTAGCAAATATAAAATAAATCGTTTTGTTTAAAAAAAAATCATTTTCGAAATTATATTAAATTTATTAAAAGTATTTACTTGTTAGGGGAAAAATCAGTATACATGCAACCTCTATTATATATAATTAAAAATCAACAACTCTTGACAAAATAAAATAAAGTCATGTATTTTAAACAAAAATTCATATATTGAAATTTTTTAAAACATTTTAAACGTAATTAAAATTAAAGTCTGATAACTTTAATTAATTACATATTGCAGTTATGATTTTACTACATAATTTCGAGGAAAGTTCAGAAGAAATTTTCGCAAAAATATTTAATTTTCTAAATTTTAAATTATAGAAAAAAGGTCTATCAATTAATTTTCATTCTCTCATTGAATAATAATTTTTCATTTTTATTTCTTTTTAAGATCTTCTTTTGGTAATATAGTAATATGAACTAAATAATTCAGGAAGAAGTAATTATTAAATATAAGATAGTAAAATTATAAAATGATTGTGTAACACGATTACAATATATAGATTTACTACTTATGCATTGCACATTGATCCCTAAATTTTTTTTCAGTTTAATCTTTTGTTACGGCAACTTTCTTTTTCAACAGTGCTTGCGTTCTGGTTAAACTCCAATCATGAATCTACTTTGGTTTTTTCTCATTACTATTTTTGTTCTTTTTATTATTCGCTAATTCATATTTCTTTTTTCTTTGTTATATCTACTAGTGAACTTTCTTTTTAAGTACTACACTAAACTATTGTTGCATTTCGAATTATAAATTATATTAATTATATCATCAGAAAATTCAAATATTTATAATATAGTTAATCATTATATACAAGAAATTTACAAAATTTGTTTAATATTTATGAAAAAAAAACATTTAAAATGTATATTTAAAAATCATTTTATAGTATTTGAAATAGTGTATGAAAAGTATGGGTCATTTATTTAATACGTTAAATATGAAATATTATATAACACTCCGTTGTACTTAAATTGAATTAATCTTTTTTATATATATAAATTTGTAAAATTTATGTTAAATTTAAAGCTGTATTTATGAATTATATCATTAAATATTATTAAAAAATTATTAAATATCGTTTAGATGAAGAATTATATTCCATGTTAATTAATATAAAATTAATATAAATGGTTAAATATAACATTTATTACATATCAATTCAACGGTATACACATTTTATTTCATAAAGATCGATCTAAAAAACCTAAACATTAAATATATTTAATTCGATTTCTATATATGCCATATAATATAACTAAATAAAGAAAAAATAAAGATATCGTTGATTTCGTCAAATTTTTTTTCATTATCTATATAGCTTTCTATGATAGCATTTATTCATGCTGACAATTTTCCAAGATATTTAAATATTTTAATATATATACAATATAAAATACAATAAAAATAATATACTAAATTAAAATGCAAATAAAAGTAATGTAAAATAATAGAATATTCAAATAAGAATCTAACATTTCTGTATATTGTACTTTGTAATTATTGTTTAATTGTTTTGTTGATATAGTTTATTCTATTTGGGATATCGAAACACCAATTATTTAATTATTTTACAAATTATATAAAGTACAACTACTTTAATTTTCGATACACATAATATATGATTTAACACTATATTAGTAGTAATACAGAAAATTCAGAATTCAAAATCTGGGATCTCGAAGTTTAGTATACACGTAACAATAAATGTATTTTATAATATTTTGAGTAATAGTCCAAAACTTGCCATCAAAATAGATAGGTGGAATTCAGGAAGAATGGATTTACTGAGTCAAAAAGTGAAGATTACATAAGCTACAATTTAAAACGAAATTGAAATTTTAACAGACGATTAGTTCAAATACAAAAACTACGGTTAAAAAGGTGCCGACGGTGCATAATCATTGGGCATCTCGTAATAAATGTTTCCCTTCCATTAAGTGACTTGAAGTTGGCTTTCTCAGGCGTGACCCGCTGATGAGCCATGACTCCTTTATGATAGACCGAGAACAACGAGATTCTAAAGAAGTTACGAGTCTTCGATGGAGTACTAAACAGTGTGCAGTCACGACAATTAAGAGCAACATCAAGGGTTACTAACCGAGAAACACGCTATGAGAGCAATTTTGATGATTATCCTGGGAGTCAGTCTTGGCAGCACGCGTGAAATTGAGTTCAACCCTCTCAGTCAGTATTCCATCGAGCAGCAGCAGCAACAACAGCAACAAGAGCAGCAGCAGGAACAGAATCAGCAAGATCGACGAAAACAGGAGTTGCTTAGCGAGGTGAGCTCTTTCAAGTGGGCAGCGATCTTTCCATACTGAGTCTGGTCGATCCCAGCGGGTTTAATAATCATTATCCAACATAGCCGTAACATTATTCAAATGGATTAATATAGTCAAGTGAAGTTATTGCTCGTGTAAAACATAGTACTTTACTATGTATAATAATAAATCTGTAAAAACTTAATATGCAACAGCTTAATAATAAATCGAATAATTTAAAGTTCTTTTATAATTAAGAGTTGCATCATAAAGAATATCAATTATATATAACTATAGTTATAAATAAGTATAAATTAATGAGCGTTTATTATTAAAATTTAAATTTATTAAATTAAAATATTATACTTTTAATATTACAGAAATAATATTGAAAACTCAAATACAGAATGTTTAGAATACAAATTTAATACATTTTTACTTCCTTTTTTAATTTTATTAACAGAACATTTAAGATGTGTCTTTCAAGATTTTTCGTGTTTTATACACATTTGCATTATGTAATATAAATTTTAAAGATTCAAAATAATACATATTTTAAATTAGATTTAATTTTTAATAAATTGGACCTTAAAGAAAATTACATTTTAATAGCACATAAAAATCAAGATATTTTTCAAAATTTCTTAAAATTTGTTTTAAAATTACTAGTAGTAGTCATTATTTCAATTTTATTTGTTTTTTAAATCCATTAGTTATGGAAGAAATTTAATTTACATATTTTTACAATACAACTTAAAAATATAATTAAAATTTTACTAATTTAAAAAGAGTAGTTCAAGTTTTTTAAATATTTAGAATTCAGAGAAAACAGCTTCTAGACAATTTTAAAAACAATATAAAAGAAATTAGTTCTTCGTCTAAAAGATTTTATACAATAATCTGTCAAATCTAACAAATACCGATTTTTATTAAATTCTGAAGTAGCGTTACCTGCCAAATACACACAAAAATATACATATTATGTGTTATAATTGTATTATTATATTTTAATGTTTTTTCATTTATAATTTCCGCATAACACAAAATTATATTTATAATTTTATTTTAGAATTTTCTTTAATATGTATTAAATTATTTATATTTTTAAAAATTTGATTGTATTCAAAGTATAATAATAATTTATCATTACAGGATTCTTTCCTTTTTAATCCCTCGTGTATTATTAACTATTACTGGATTTTTATATGCATATTCAATTTTTTATTCATTATTGAATAAATATTATGTTTGTAAACATATAATATCATAAAATAATTTATTCTCACAAAAATAAAGCTAAAAATAAACATTAGATCAAATTATTTATATAAAATGTACTTGTATATATTTATTTATAAATAATCGTATTTTATAGATAAAAATTTATTTATTTTATTTTGTAATAACTATAAATCCGTATATATAATCAATTATTGATTTTTAAAATTTTTAAGGATAACATTAAATAAATTACAAAGTAGAATATTAATAATATTTACAAGAATGTCGATAAAATGAAAAAAAGTAAATTACACAAATTTAATACAAAAATATTTAATATAAAAAATTACATAAATAAAAAAGTATCAACATCATCAAAAATATAAAAAAGTATCAATTCCAAATATAAATAATATCGCAAAATATAATGAAAAATCATAACAATTCTGTGAATTTCAATATGTTTATATATGTTTATTATGTTTGTATATTTAAAAATATTAACCTTTGACTTGTTTACATTGTAAAACAAAGAAGTATAATAGACTAAAAGATTGTATGTAGTATGATTAATATATTTTTATAATCTGAAATTAATATTTTAAAAACAAACGATTTATAAAATAATATCGTAAATATAATAATAATTTTTTGGTAGCATCTCAAATAAATTATAAAATAATCAATAAACTTAATTATATTACAATACAATATTACATAAATTAATAGGTGTGGTAATAATAAAAATACATTTAGTTCTTCGCATTATCTCAATAATACCACTCACAATAAAAAGAAAGATCTACTTATTACTGATAATTATATTATCAGTATTTTATTATGATCAATATATATAATAATATTATATTCATAATATTATTATAATATTATAATATAATATAATAATATAAGTATTATATTATCATATTACTGATAAATATAAATAAATAAATAAATATATATATATATATATATATATATATAACGAATACTTACATAATATATAGGCATTCAAAATAATTTCATTTTACTTCATATATTCTATTTATTTATCTTATATATTTTATTCCATATTTTTTTTAATTGTTGTAATATATTTAAAATTAATACAAATTTTATATTTGTTATTAGTATTTTTCTCTTCTTTTAATAATATTTAAAAAAGAAATTTCTTTCTTATTTATGTACACAAATCAAATTACAAATATTATATTTAAAATATATCCTATATTAAAAACATTCTCAATTAAATTAAAAAAAAAATTATTTATCCATATAGGACAATCTATTAAAAGGAATAGCAACAAAGAGCGTACAGGATGAAGAGGTTATACAAGCGGCAGAAGGCTATGAATTTATACAGCTACCTGAAACTTCACCAGATTATAGTTCATCCCAAGTTGTAGAGATGGAACCAATATCATCTGCTAGTTATGGTGATCGCGATCATCATCCAAAAGTAATATGTCATATTATGAATAATTTATTTTTTATTTAATGCTAATCTTATGTTATACAAAAATACTTTTTGCATTGCCTTTTACAGGTAAGTAATTCACATTTAGCGTTAATTAACTTTGAATAATTATTTTAATAATCAATTATTTTTTAATAAATATTTTATTTAATAAATTTAATTTAGCGTAGTTCTGATAATCTTTTTTTAATTACTGTTAAAGTACTTTTAAACGATTTTACACGATATATATTACAAGTCTAAAAATTAATTAAATTTTCGTTACTTAGAAATCGAAAAGTTATGAAGCTTCTATTGAAGAATTTATTTACTAATTATATTTACAAATAAATTTTTTTCAAAGAACGCTTAAATAAACAACAATTATTCGTATAAATTAAGACTTTTATTATTTATTATAACAAAAACTTTACTTACATTAAAGAATCATTTATTGTAAAAGAAGTTGTACAAATTAAACAAATTAAAGAATTTTCAGACTAGACTAAAGCTTCAAAGTCGAAAGTAAGTTATTTTAGTTACTTAAAATTAGTAAACTTATATGCAATATAGTATATAATAATATTAGGCAGCTGATATTTGAGGAAATAATCGAATGATGAACTATGTCTGAAGATCGGCTACAGTGTAGGTGGACCTTTGGTTAATATCGCCCAGGGAGCAGCAGCACAGGCGCACACCTTCGAGAAGAGTCAGCCAGCAGCCGCAGCTCAGGCAGCCTACGTCGCAAAAAATCGTCTAGGTCAGTCAGCAGGCCTTAGTGCTGCAACTGCAGCCGCCGCCTTTGCCGGTAAGCAAATCATTCTCCGAGGCCTTGAGCAGCAGGCCTACAGCGCGCACCGCTCCCTCGAAAGCGAGAAACTGCAGCTGCAACAAGCACAGAGGGCTGCCACCGCAGCTGCCCAGTCTGCCCAGCAAGCCATGCACCAGGTAAGCTTATCGTTGAATTCGCGCAAATGTTACAATTGTAGATATGACTTCATACGGAGCATAACATTTAGATAAATGTCTACTTGGTTTGTCAAATACATTTAATAACTGTTCTTTTGAAACTTTAATTATGAAATATTTATTTGCTATATAATATCAAGATTATTTTTAATAAAATATACATGTAGATAATGTTGTCTCACGAAATATTTTTATTAAAATTACGTTTATTTGATACTATAATAATAAAAATATTAAAAATTGTTAATATTTTAAATGAAATATGTTTTATTTATTAATACGTATATGTACTTGTGATTAATAATGAATAATACACAAAAAATAAAGAAGAAAAATGAATAATAATGTATTATATATTTAATTAGTAGAAAATTTTATCAATTTATATATTATTTATAGAATTTTGTATTGAAGAGAAGTGTATTTAAAGGACAATTATATTTGGAGTCGAAATTCCTTGTGAATATCGCTTAAAAAATAAATGAGCAAGCTAATAATTTAAGCTTGAAAGAAATAAAAAAAAAATATAAATATCTATGAATAAATTATGAACAACAAAATTTACTTAATAAAATAAACTATGTAAAATATATATGAATTGAGCTCAAATACTTTGTTTAGGAAAATTAACCATTTAAAAAACATTTCCAGTTCACTTACTCCATTTCGTTTATATCATATGTATGGTACACATTCTTTTTCGTATTATTAAGTCAATCCTGTTTTTTTATCTTTAAAACTTTATATTTTTTATGGGATAAAATCTAATATCAAATTTGTCTTCAAATTTATAAATGTGATTGGTTCGATTTATGTCTATCAATGTAGGCTGATGTCTATATATTAATTGTTATTGAATATTAAGATTTATGAATTTGTAAACATGACTACTTCATATACTATGTATTGACATTAGTATAATAATACTTAATGAACGAAATATTATAGGTCCAAGTGATTACGACGGCTTTGAATGCAGCACAAACGACATCAGAACACGCATCGGCAGCCGCAGCAGCCTCCGCTTCGGAACTTGCAGCCCAAACAGCGATGGTCGGTGCGGCTAAGGCTCGTCTCCAAACGATCGAGGACCAACTGTATCACGCACACATTGATTTCGAGGCAACACAACATGCAAATTTGAAGGCCGCTCATGCTGCTAAGGTCGCTCAAAATAATGCAGCTGCAGCGGCAGCTCACGCGGCGAAAATCGCTAATAACTACCAACGTCACTACCATTACAAGCACGACCATAGCGACTATCATCATGGTCAAAATGACCATAAACAAAATAAAAACAACATAAACAACCATAAACATCATCATCTCAAGTATCACCACCATGATAATCATGAACACCATAACAACCTTAAGCATGGACATAACGCTCAGGATCATAAGGATAAACACGAGCATGAGCATGAGCACGAGCACGACCACGAACATGAACACGAGCACGACCACGAACATGAACACGAGCACGATCAGGAACATAAGCAGGAGCATAATCATGATCGTCAGGAGTCCATTGTTGTCCCCTTATCCTCTTCGGTTAACATGACTTTATCATCGACTTCCTTACCGTTTTCTGTTTCCTCGACTCTCAAGGACGGACAGACCAGAGAGAGAAGCGGACGAGTGTTGCACTCTACCTCAGAGAATTTTCCTAGTGTAATGACCACTGCATCTTCTATTGGCAAAGATGAGATTTACGACGCTTATGATAGTTTCCCTTACTGATTCCATTTCCATCGTGAATTCAATAATACATCGAAAAATATTTGTGAATCATAAGTAGATGTTTGGTATCATCAAACAATCTCTAAAAACATAATATTATAATCTAAAGTACATTAAGAGAACGATATTTAAATTTTATACTGACTTATATAATACACATATTCATAGCAATTAATATTTTTACTAATGCTTAGTTTATTTACAAAACTTGTATATTTCGATATATAATATGTATGTACATTACTGCATAAAGTCTAACTATTCAATTCATAATTTTCTTATAGTTGAATAATATATATATAGATTAAATTATATAAATAGATTATATAAATATAAATGGTTTAAATATATAGATTAAAAATATGTAAATCTATATTTGAATACTATATACAATAAAACTAAATAAAATAAAAAATATCATCAGTGTTATTTTTTACATTTTATGTTAGCGTTTGTATTCTTGATAATAAATCATTTTATTTAGTATCACAGAATATTTATATTTACAAATTTATTAATAATCACATGATTTAATTTAAAAACTATTATCGTTATTGATGATAAACTTACTTATCTGCATAGCACAATAAAAATATAATTTCATATTTCAAAATATATTAAAATATTATTTTTATTTTATCAAAATAAAATTTATTTTAATTGAATTAGTAAATTATTTTTTCTTTTAGTTCCATAATATAAATTAATATTTTTCATTTTTATCATAATTTTTAGATGGATAGAAATACATTGAATCAAATAAATTTTAAACATTAATATTTAAATAAAAGTTAAGTAATATTATATCAAATATTTAATATATAATTAAAGTGCTTTGAAACAAAAAATTACATATTAAAATTTTATTCATACAAGTAAATAATTTTAGATAAATTTCTAAAAATTAAAATGAATATAGTTTTTGAAATTAGCCAATCGCATTTATTAGAATTATCTAAATTTGTAATGATGCTAATGTAAAAAAAAATGTTTAGGAAAAAAAAGAATTTATAAAAGAATTTATGAAACAAACAGATATAGTCTGATTCAATATTGATATTCTGTTACATATAGTATATAGGCTAGTGAAAAATTATAGTTTTACTCTAGGAAGCTTTAATTTATTACTTGTAAGCAATATTTTGCAGTTATTTTGATTGTATAAATATTATTTAAAAATTGATAGTCATATTAAATAATTAATATATTTGATAAAGTTATAATAAGTTGATTAATCTATTTTTGCGTTTTTGTTAAACAAATGAACGTCTCATATTTAGCGTTGCCATATGACATATTTTAAAACAATTATTATAATCCAAATACTAGTCTAATTTTTAATGCTTTATATTATTAAATTATTTTAAAAATTAACAAATCTTATTATCTACAAATGTGATTGGGGGTATTCTCTTACGCAGCCCAGAGAACTGGTCATTGCGATCAGTTTTAATTTAGTTGACTCTAAACTCTAATGGAAGATTTAATTTTTAATTTACAATTAAAAGTTTGTATTATTCCATTAATTATTGATTATCTAACTATTTATCTTAACTGTTTTAATATATTCTTAACTTACGAAATTTAAATTATAGCTTTTCACTGTTTAAATTCAAATTTTAATTATACTAAATTTAGTTAAAATAAATTTAGATACATTAATAATTACATAAATGAATATACTTCAACTAATACATAAATATATATGAATTAATCTGTTTTGAATAAACTTTACGTAAAAGACTCAACAGAATTAAATACTTCAAGCTGCTTATAAAAAGCATTGGTTTCTTCTCCTAATTTTTTTTTTTAATATTTACAGAAATTTTAATTTTATATAATAATATTAGTTTTATATAATATTATTAGAAACAAACTAGAAAAAAGAAAAAGAAAGAGAAACCGCAGTAGCATCGTTAATGATAACATTGATTTCATATATAATTTGAAAATTTGAATAATATAAATAAATAAGTTTAAGCACTATATTAAAAACTTAAATTATTGTATCTTGTTAAAAAATACAATATTATATTAATAGTTATAATTATAAAATTAGTAAATATAATGGCGAATAAATTCATAGGAATTGAAAATAGGTATAAAAGTTAATTATACTTTAGATATAATGATGTAAAACTTTCATAATTTAATAATTAATAATTACAACAATGATTAATTATTACTAAGATTTTTACAAGGTTTTAATATATGTGACTGCATTTGTAATTTATAAATGATATAAATAAAACAATCTTCTTATATACTTAGAAATATATTTTTATAGTAAGTAAAGTATTTACTTGAAAAAATTAAAATTGGGTTTAACTTCCAAATTTATTAGTTCAATTAATTAAGCAATATAATTGATTTTTACAATTGCATGTAATCATTTTTAGTTACTAAGTTATTAAATTATATTATTAAAACTATGTAATTTTTAAAGCCTTTTTGGAATTAAGATTTTATATAAAATAACACAAAGAAAGGTTAAACAAATAATTTTACAAATTTTATAATACTTGCCACCATCCCTGCATTTAAAGTATTTATTTAGTTATTATAAAGTTATGAATCTAATGTTTACTAATATCGTATTCACTAATATCATAATTATTTATAAGAAAACTTATATAAAGTTAATTATTATAAATAGTTATAAGGAATTTTTTCATTTCTAACTTCTTTCGAGTTCAAAGTTTAGAAAATATTTTATTTATTGGATTATTATATCAAATTTTCATCGGTTATATTATTTTAAACAGACAAAATCCTAATTTGAAACGTATATTATGAAAACATATAACAAAATTTAGATATTAGAGATTTTTTTTAATTGAAAAGTTTAATTTTTTATTTGAAAAATTAGAGAAAAAAATTAATCAAAAAGATCTCTAAATCTCACTTTTTTGAAATATGCGTACGTGCACGCACGTGTATTTAAATAAAGAGTTCGTACAGAGCCCGAGGGCCGCGAAAGAGATAGGAATCGTGATAAAAGTTTTGGGATCTTCTAATGAGACTACCACTGATTCTCTCTCATATATTTTACTATCACAGATCAATAATTCTAATACACTAAAGGAATGTATCATAACAATGTATTGTAGGAGTTATGTTTTATTTAAATATCTGAATTAATTATTTTTCTTAGAATATAATGAATTTTTAGCAAACTCTTTATAAAACTCAATATAAACTTGAACGTTTATTTGATAAGGATATTAACTGATGCGAGATTTACGAGTTATTACTTCGTTATTAGCTACTATTTTGTAGATTCGCAGAAACAGTGGATTATTACTATTATCCTATAGTAATAATTTATTTAATATATTAATATTTATAATACAAGTAATTATGCAGGAGCATGATCTATGTTACTAAAATATTGTATTACAATTAATTTATTTTATTGATTATGTGGTTAGACAAAATTTATATACATTTAAAATAATTGTTTTCCTCTTTAATATGAAAATTTACATAAATTAAAAGATTGTATTTACTTTTTATTTAGTTTTAATTTAAATTTTATTTTAACATTAAATTTAAATTTTAACAATTTATTTAGTTAATATACAAACGTAGACTAAATCTAATTTAATTTGAACTTTTTATTATTAATTTAACATTAATAGAGCAATTTTTTAACAATATTATTTCCAATGTTAATGAATCTACACTTTTAAATTATTTTTAAACAAAAATTATTAAAAATTATAAAAATTTAAACATTAAGAAAAAAATAATTGGTATATTATTAATATATTTCGTATTAATTAGAATTATTTCATAATAATTCTCTCTTATAAATACAATAAAAGATATTAAAAATGATAAATATCTTTCATTATCTATAAAATACACTTTTTTAAATATTCCCTGTAAATTTTGTAAATCAGATTATAAATATAAAGAATTTTGTAATAGAAGAGGTATTTAAAGATTTTCAGCACAATACTTTAATTAGAAGTATGTCCTTATTTTTAAAAAAAGTAGTTAAATTATTCTGTTGTTCATTGATCGTAAAAAATTAACCATTAGGTATAAAATCGTGTGTTAATACTTAGATACGTAAAACAATGGTCTAATACAAGGATAATTTCGTTCGTAAGTCGAGTTGCATTACATACACCAAACAATATGTTCTAATGATAATTTAGAATTTTAGATTATAATTAAAATTTTATATTACAAATTGAGCAAGATATAGTAAAATAGTATACGGCATATTAAAAGAAAAAAATCAAATTCGTTGTATATAATAATAAATTTCAATATATCTCATATAGCAACAAAATTTGAATTAAAATTTATATTTTTTGTAATGGTTTAAACAAAATATTCTTAACAATTTCAGATTAATTAAAAGATATCATTTGTACAAATTATAGAAATTTTAAGAAGTTGAAATACGGTTATAATATCTACACTTAAATTTTTTATACAAAAAATAATTGAATAACAATATTTTAATTATATGTACTATTAAAATAGTTGTAAATTTTTAATCGATAGTTATAATTTTTTATAAAACATGAAGCATTATTATGTTCTCACAAATGTTCAAACTATGCAGATAATAATGAAAAATGTACAAATATTTAATAGGTTAATAAATAATTAATATTATTATTGGACATCAAAATAATTTATTATATGCCATATATACAGAAAGTAATCTAATCGAAAGTACGGCCATATGTTCAGATGACTTTATTAATAATAATTTTATTCATAATACTTAGACAATAAAAATACGAACTAGAAATGAGATTTCTTGTGAAAATTGGAAATCACTGAAAATTTTGCAATATTGTTGTCACAACTAATGCAATAATATAAAATACATAAATACTACAAAATATTAATATCTATATTATTAATATACATAATTAATTTTATAAAATTATCTTTATTTGAAAAGAGAAAATATAAGCATAGTGAAAATATATTATTTTAAGTTACCATATGTTACGCATGTAATTACAATTGAA